TATGTATATCTCCCAGCTCAGCATGTCTTCAGACCATGTGTACAATTTCAAGATCTACCCAAAATACCAAAATATACACAGACCTACACAGATAAAAATCTGTTTATAGCTTCGAATTTGACGTATTCATCTTGCCACTCTCATGATAACAAATGTGGGAAGTTATTAGGAGGGTTTAGAATCAACTGCATCCTGCCAAAAGTCACATCATTACCTAGATCTGTGAAGCAGTGAAATGCACTAGGGCAGGGGCAGGTACAAGTGCTTTTTTAAAGCCTGAATTTATAAAGGAAGGCAGCGATATCTTTGTGTGTGTGTGTGTGTGTGTGTGTGTGTGTGTGTGTGTTTCTTTTCTTTTTTTTTTTTTCAGTACTGGGGATGGAACTATTTCTTAAAAGATTTAAACACTGAGAACTCTGGACTGAGTGGGCTGTAATACATCATGTACAACATGCAATTCCTCAAGGTAAAATGACTCAGTGAAAAACAGCTCTTAAAATATTCAGGAACTTACCTATTTAACATAATTAGTGGGGCTTTGAAAAGAGGGGGAGAGAAGCAAAGCTGATAAGGAAATTAAATCTTAAGGACCAGCTGCAAAAACACTTCAGGAGCACATATATCAAACAATCAACTCAGCACAATGGTACATTTAAAAAAAATAAAATAGGGCTGGGGAGATAGCTTAGTGGAGTAAGTGCTTCCCTGGCAAGCATAAGGGCCTGAGTTCAACCCCCAGTTCTGCCAAAAATAAAATAATTCCTAAATTTAGATGAGAGGTCTTTGGAAAAATATGATTGACTACATAGAAAATGTTTATTGCCAATTCCTCCAAGCTGAAAGTTGGATATGCATTAACTGTATTTTAAATATAAGCCCTTTACTTAAACTGGTTACATAAAAATGGGAATAAATAATTAACACACTGCATACATTCTTCTTAGTGGTTAATTGCTGTACAAGATGCAGACTTGTGTTAATTATTGAACATGTCCTAGCGATTTGATTTGAAACTGTCTCATTGCTATTTGTCAATAGAATTATGAAAAAATAAATAAATAAATAAAATTTAAAAAAAATGGGAATAAAGAAGGAACTCATGAAGATCAATCCTATGTACCAGAAAGAAGTTGTTTGATTTTAAAACATGGCACATTCATTAATTTGCCTATTTTTTATCTAAGGCTAAATGTTTAATTGCCATCCTTGTTGATTTTTTCAGCACAGATACTCTTGGAATTCTACTTTCTTATATTACACTTAAATAGTGTATGACTCCTAACTTCTGTGCTTTTAAAATGATCAAAGTTTAAAGTTACTTACAAAATACCAAATACAAATATCTTTTTTTAATGTTTATTTTTACTATATGACATTTTGAAGAATTTATTTATTCAATAATAAATTGCTGGTGATTTGCCTGTAATTGTTGCAAAGAACTCAGCTTCGGTAGAAGTCTTCTGTTCCCATACCGTGTTAGTTTGGATGCTAACGACTGACTTGTATCCTGCTCACCCTCAGCTGCGGCTGACACATGTGTAGAGTCAGGGCGAGCACTGGCTGCTACATCCCAGACACGAGGACACTGCTGACATACAACGGACATTCAGAGGGCATCTAACAGATGAACAGCACATGACTCACTCTTATGTATACAGTAGAGCAGAAAGGGGCGAAGGCTAAACAGTGTGCTGGAGAGGAGCTGTTGGCCCAAGGCTCAGTGATGGCGAACCTCCTAGAGCTTTCAGTGGTAACAAACAGCTCACTGCAGCATGCGTGCCAGAGGTTCACCATGCCTGGTAGGCCATTCACACATTATGGGGATCCATTTGTTTGTTTATTTATATATTTATTTACAGCAAGAATGGAGAATCAGTTATCACAGCAAGTCCACTAGATGGTAGCTGCTTACAAGCAATTCTACTGTACTTTGATTAAACATCTGGCTTAACAAAACTTCTGTCTGCAAAAAGGACTTGGCTTTTCACTTTCCTTTAGGAATTAAATACCTTCCTCCATGTTAACCTGTAACTAATTTAACTCCCCACTGTCCACAGAAGGATTGTGAGACTTCTGAAGCTGTCTGTGAGGGCCAAACTCCTGATGTGTGATTAGTAACATGTACTCTCTTCAGTGTTCCCTAGGACATTTGGAATTAATTATATATTCAAATATAGATGCTCTCAGATCTCTGGCCAGGCCCAGCAGGTTTTTCAGGGGACAGAGTTGGAGGCAGATCACTGCTGTTTCTCCCATCAGATCCTATAGCTAAAGGTAGATTGAAAACTACTCTCAAGGGTCTGCAAACAGAGATGATTAGGAATGATAGAAGAAAACAGCAACCTTACTGAGGAAGAGCAGTTTCTGCGCACATAATTTAAGACTACAAAACAGGCACTGTATCGGGCTCACAAGACCTTAAATATTGATACTCTGGATTAAAATATACCTATATCTACTCTAATCTGTGGTTTGGAATTTAGCTTGCACCTAAATACTCACCTGACTGTCACCACTTTCTATTACTATTGGTAGAAGCGCAGTAGTGTGCACTGGGGAAGGGCACAGGGTATGTGCCGGGCACTTCAGCTACATGCTTTCACCATTCTGTACCTTTATTGAAAAATCCTTTAATGTAGGCATGTATATATCAACCTTAGAGCAAGAAACAACAGCTCAGAAAGATTCAATGTTTTCTCAAGGTCATCAGGAAAATTAATTTGGTGGGCTGTTAAAACCTATGTAATGGTGTTTAAACAGTAAAATCACTTTTCTAATCAAATGCTGCTTAGGACCTTATCCTATAAAATATTACATGTAGTGTTGAGGCAAAGGCCAAGAAACCTCACCCTTCCTTGGAACAAGATGTCAGAAACTGAAATCAGTTTAAAGAAACAAAAAGAATCAGCATCAAAGACAAGGTTTCAATTCACTTACTCCATTACCATGGCACGGTGCAGGCTACCAGTATTTTGCTAAGGGTAAGTGAAAGAATCAAAGTAACAAAATTACCTTTTTCTTGTTCTTTGCCCAGCAAAATGAGGAGGAAAGGAAAGAGTCAAAGACTGTAACAATCTTCAAAATCGACAGACAGACTGCCATTACTGGTTCTTGATGCCATCAGATTCTGTGGTCAGGGAACATCTTCCAAATGGCAGCTTATTTTATCTTTATAGTTGGTGTTTCCAGGTAAGCTTCTGGCTTTCCATCATGATAAATGAATAAATTCTATTTTATTGTGGTGCCACAGATAAGAACTCTGAAAGGCTCAAGAGGTCCAAATTCCCTGTAAAGCATCACATATCAAAATGCAGCCAGAAAAGATGGTATTAAATTAAAAAAAAAAAAAAAAAAGCTCCTTTTTAAATGAAGTAAGGTGTAGGACAGATTTATTAGTTTTCATTTTTCCAAGTTGCATGATGGTGCATTTCCTGCCTATATTTCTACATTTGGCAGGTCTTTTCGTGGGATACTTTCTAAAAAACAACGCTTCAAAGAATACCAGGCAGCTCTACCCACTACATCTGCAGACACACCTGTGATAACGGTAAGTTTCTCATATTTAAAGTGCAGGGCCCGGGAAGATAGCTCAGTAGAATAAGCGCTTCCCTGGCAAGTGCAAGGGTCTGAGTTCAATCCCCGGTTCTGCCAAAAAATAAAATAAAATAAAAATAAAAATAAAAATGTAGTGCTCTAACAGAAAAACACCCCTGTGTAACTTGCCAAAAGTTTGTCATTCTTGAAATGAACTGATACTTCTAACCAGACATTACAAACTTATAAAAATAATAACCAACTGAGGACTAGCCTATTGCCACAAGTCAATAAATTTAACGGACCCCTCTATCCACTATGGCCATAATTCCTTTTCCAACATTAAGAAATGGCAAACAACTAAATTTTTTAAGTAGATACTAGAAAAATTAATAATAGTATGTGTTTTTTCCCTTGAAGAATTATTATTCTGAGTGCCTTAACTGGGACAATGAATAATTGCTTCATTTTAAGCAAAGTTACCAAGACCTTGCAAAGTAGAAGACAGTTGTTTCTTCCCTACAGAGACTGGAAAAAGGAGTAAATGAGCAAACCTCAAGACAGGGAATGGTGAGCCTTTTAGTGACCTTGCCAGACTGCAACCCCAGACCCACATATTTACCTCATAGTTCTAGCACTGCAATTAAACAGGTTGTAGTTTAGAAAAAGCAACTCAACATTAACATCTTCAGTTTCCTTGAGAGAGGGTCTATGTAGTCCAGGCTGGCCCTGAATTCACATAGATCATCCTGCCTCAGCTGCCTGAATGCTAAGATTATATATATGTCACTACATCTGGCAACATGTTTTAAAAGAAAAAACAAGGTACAGTGCGTACCACAGGTTCACCACCACTGCTGTAAAGTAAGTATACTGCCAAGGAAAAAGAAAGCATTACAGGTGGAAAGAATATACAGCCTGGAGGCAAGAGAGTGGGTGACACTTCTACAGTCTACCTGATGACAGGGCTACAGATGCACTATCCACGGTTCCAGTTACTAGACATGTCTACTTAAATGTAAACAAATGTGAAAAGCAATTTAGTTCTCAAATACATTTTAAGTACTCACTGTCCACATGGGTCTAGTCTACCATATTGGATTGCACAGATAGAATTTTTCCATTATTGCAAAAAGCACAAGACAGGCCTACTGCCAGTCTGGGTACTTTCAAAAGTGAAACTACTATATTCTACAAAGACTCCTTTGAAGTAGCCCTTTCAGACTACAGCCCTACATAGCCTTATTATAACATGTTTTACATTTCAGTAAAAGATTTGTTTTAAAGAAAGGATTCTATAGTCCAAAGGAGGGGGGGGGCAGGGTTGTGAAGTGAGCATGTGACAGATTTGGGTTTTAGACATCACAGAACAGTGTGTACGATGTGGCAAGAAGAGCATGGAGAAGTTAAAAATGTGATCAAAAATTATATTCAGTTATACTTATGAAGAAATACATGATAAAGAATGTGCATCAGTAAATTTATTCCAAGAATTGATTGCACACACCAGGCACGTTACCTCCACAAAAAAAGAATCAGCATTGTAGTAAAAATACTTAACACTTTAGCTATAAAACTCAAAGATAACTTGATAACCCTCTCAAGATACTTTGTTATGAAATTTATAATCTATACTTGCCCAATTAATAATTAAAACATAATTGTATGCTCATAAAACTCATGTTTCAAATATCTTTGTTGAAACTGACTGAAAATAACTTTACAGTAACTTCACCATATCCACATTTAGCTCCCAGCAGTGCTATTATAGAACCAAACTTTTCAAGTAGCTTCAATTCACAGCATTCCTGACCATAGACATATTTTTATAGACAGCTCTTACTACTTGGCTATTTTAATATGCCAACCATCACTTCACTAATATCCCAGAGTTTTCGTGCTACAGACTCATCCATCGCTTTGGGTAATAATTCTTCCTCCTTGCAATCCCCAAAGTACTTTCCTGACACACCTTCTACCTCAGGTGAAGAGGCTAAGTAGATAGTAGTCTGGGCACCTTCTAGAGGGGTTTTGAAGAAAGCCCACGATACCAAATTGAAAAGTGGTTTGGCCAGTAGTGGAATATGAATGTGCCTGCCAAGATTAGTCCGTACAATACCAGGATGTAAGACGTTGACAGTAACATTGGTGCCTTCTAGGCGGCGGGCTAGTTCTCTGGTAAAAAGAATGTTTGCCAGTTTGCTCCGACTGTAGCAGAAACTTTTATTATAGCTTTGTTCACTGTTTAAGTCTTCAAAGTTGATGTCTCCATACTTATAAAGCTTGGAAGAAACGACCACAACCCGGCTGGGAGCTGAACTTTTGAGGAGTCCAAGCAGAAGATTGGTGAGAAGGAAGTGTCCCAGATGGTTCACTCCGAACTGCATTTCAAACCCATCTTCAGTCTTCATATATGGACACTGGAAGACCCCTGCATTATTGATCAAGACATCCAGCCTTGGCTCCTCCTTTAAATATCAGAAAGAGAATGGCAGCATTATGAACACATGCCTACAAAAGCTCTCTGTTTAGTGTAAACACATTTCAAGAAAAAGTGAACTTGAAACTAAAAGTACTTCGGTTCTCAGCCTATGGATTTAAGAACTACTTGGAACACTGCCAATTTTGTTTTTAAGTAGTAGGGCAGGAACTCTTTTACAGGATATTCTTCCAACTGGTATTCATAATCTCACTCAATGCTCCTTTTTCTCACTTATTAAAGTAATATGAAAATACTTATCTGCAAAATTCTGTCAGTGAGAGATACAGAAACTGCATCTAAGACTCCATTTTTGGTCTTATCCTTTTGTAACTTCATGATTATAAATATGTGTATCCAGGTGTTTCATGAAGAAGCTGGTTATCTGATCAGTTCAAAGATCTTTCTTAAAACAGAAAAACAATAAATTGGGGGATGAGGCATTCAAATGATTCCAGGTTTCTCCCTTTTACTTCACCTGAACTTAGAAAATAGCAATTTGGAAATCATCATGTTACTCATGAGATATCAAAATCACCATAAATGTACCTACAATTTTAGAAATTTTTACAAAATACTAAAGTTCCACAAAATGGCTTTTATGGACTTTAAACAATTGAGAAGAAAATGGAAAAAGACTTCATGTTTAATAGGGGTGTGCCCTTTTGCTTTGCATTTAACCTTATGTACTTCTAAGAACTCTATAAGCAAACTGAACCACAGAAGCTGGGTGCCCTGGCCAGTGTCAAAAAACAGACACTAAGGCATGATCTTCTCTTAACCAGAAAACTACTTTGGCTTTCCAGTTGGGGGTTTTTAGGACAGCTAGAGTCAAGGTGAGCCAGAGACTGTACATAGCAGAAGAAAAAAGGTCAGCACAGTTATTCCCAGACATACTAGTATCAACTCCAGAGGTTGTTAGGATTGTTTCCTACTGTACTTCTCTAAGTGGAAAGGCACTATGACAGCAAAAGAATAACTTAAAAGGCATTTCTTTAAAATTGGGAAAAGCAACAAAGTCAGAGATACAAACCTAACAATGGCGAAGGAGCCTCATGAATAAAGCAAAACTAAGAAAAAGTTAAGGGACTATAACACGGAGACACATGAATATTTACAACAGCTCAATAGTAGGACGGGGAAGTGGGTACACAATCAACAAAACCTTTAAGTTCCATCATTTATTCCTACTTGGAAACTAGCCGTCATTTAGGATGTGTGCATAAGCCAGAACTTTGGTACTTGGTCATGTACTTCTGCTTGTTTCCAAACTAAAGTCCTATGATTGAGACAGTTCTCATAGGGAAGTCTTTTCATTTCTTAATGTAAGTTGGTCTTCTGTAGCCCTTTTCTGGCCTCTAAATGGACAGAGGATAGGATGTATGTTCCACGTGTAAGGACACAGTGATGACTCATGATTAAATTAATTCCAGGTCAAATTTCAAGCTTCGCTGGCCCTTTTGCCAAGTACAAGTGAAAAGAAAAATGTGTTAAATTTCACAACTTTTATCAAAGCCTACCTCTCTGAAGATTACCTGTGTCTCATTCTGGTCTTAGTAAGAACTTTTAGGTTTTCCAATTGTCAACTTCAGAAAGAAGGCAAGAGTTCACCCACAGGGGGGAAGAAAGGAGTGTTCTTTTCTGCTAATCCTTTGGAAAGGTTTCCTGAATTAATCACTGCGGAGCCATCATTCTTTGCTGGGCTTGTGTTATTTTAAGACTTTATCATTTACTATTTTTTTAAATTCTAGGAGATAAAGGGCATAAATACCAAGAATGCCAATCTGTGGGAAGCCTACACTTTCATTTTTTCCTTTTAATTATACTCACTGAACTTCAGAGCTAGGCAGGAAGGGAAATTAGAAGCAAGGAAAACATTTCTTAATGTCCTTACTTTTTAATTGGTTCTGCTTCAAGTTCTCAAATTAGCAAAGGTGTCAGGTATAAAAAGCATACACGGCCTCATCTATATTTTAATGAAAAACAGGAAGATCCATTTCTAATGCTTCCAAAATTTCTCACAGGTTACTACTATATAATAATGAAATACAGGCAACAATAACAAAACAAATCCAACTCCTGCAAACTGAATCAAGATGACCAAGACTCGGCAGCACTAACATCTTTCTAGAGTACTGCGGAATATTTTAAAATTTCAAGGGAAGCAATGTTACTTTGTCTATTACCACAGAAATTAAGAGCTCCAGGTGGTACACATTCTATACTCCTGTAAGGAAGCCATTTCTTTGTGGAACTGACTTTCTAGCAGTTATTAAATAAGCATGGCCATACCTAATTTTATTAAAGGTAGGAGGGTTCAGCAGGCACACATTAACATTATGATTAAAAATGCAATAAAGGACTTTTTTTCTTCTTGGAATTATGTGTATTAGTCTTCCAGCAACTACTGAGCTATGAAGACATACAAGGTTATTGGGAACTAATTACTTAAGTGAACTTGTAGATATTCTTTTGGCTTTAGGACATCATGAAAAAACAGAACACACTGGGAACCTATACTTTAGTTCAAGAGATTCCATTTTATGCAGGCACCTCTCTTCTGCACCTAGCGTCACATGTCCCAAGTCGTCTCCACAAGGAATCCTTTGACCTCAGTCTCCACGCAGGGTTTCCACATGAATGGAGTACTATTTACCATCTGTGCAAAGAAATATTCAGCCCTCAGCATGTGTGTAGAGCAGGGGCTAAAGCAGCAAATGCTCCAAAGATACACCACAAGTAAGTTACTCAGCTTCCTTATGCCTCAGTTTCCTCCGTTATAAAATGGAAATAATGTCTGCCTCACAGGATTACTGTGAACACCTGACAACCACGAAAGGTGTTTACTTTCACTTAAAACTCAAAAGAATATCTGAAATGCAATGCTTGGCACCTAGCAAACGCTCAGTAATGACAAGCATTTTATTATTCTTACTCTCCTCTCCCTTTAGAGAGTGAGCATTAAGATTCCAACTCCACCCTTTTGGAAACCAAGCCAAAGTCTGGTTAGGGGTGGTGGCAAACTGAGGGACCCAAGGGGGCGGGGTAGGGGGCAGCGATGCGCCAGGAAGAGCAGGCCCGGAAGCACCGGCCCAAGTCCCGCCCACCTCCCGGGAGGGGCGTGGCCTGCACGCGGTCACCACAGAGAGGCGCACGGAAGGGCAGAGGCGCGGTGTCCCCGCGCGTCCGTGCGGCACTCCCACAGCTCTGCTCCTCCCAGGCTCCCGGCCTCGGCGGCCCACCTGCAGTAGCTCCCGGCAGAAGGCGCGCACCGAGCGCAGAGAGGCCAGGTCCAGCTCCTTGACGACCAGCTGGCCCGGCCCGGCCCCAGCCGCGTCCTCAGGCTCCGGCCCGCCGAGCTCGCGTCGCATCTGGCCGGCCGCCTCCTCGGCGCGTGCAAGGTCGCGGCAGCCCATGATCACCCGCGCGCCCAGGCGCAGCAGCTCGGCTGCCGTGGCGCGGCCCAGGCCGCTGTTGGCGCCGGTGATCAGTACCGTCTTCCCGCGCATGAGGCCCGAGTCCCTGCCTCCGTGTAGCTGCGGTACCCCGTGCCCCACGAACCGCCGGACGGCGAACCAGAGCACCCCGCCCAGGGCGGCCAGGAGCGCCGAAGTGGTGACCAATGCCATCACCTGCCGGGCCGCCACCCAACAGATTCCGTGCTGTACCGCAGCTGGGCGGCAGCGCGGGGAACTCTGGGGCGGCCGTTGGTACACGCACGGCATTTTGGGACTTGTAGTCTCCTGTCAGTGTCCCGAATGGGTTGGGAGGGTCCAGGGCCCTAAGGAGACCTGCTCTCCAGCTGGGTAAGGAGACACTGGAAGAATACAGTAGAAATATTGCGACTGAATATATTTTAGACTGCTTACGTCAAATTAGGGAACACAACAAAAGATGTGTGTTCATTTTGGTCTCTCAACTAGAGCCAGAAGTGGTTGTGTGCAGATTGGGTAGAAATGGGGGTAGGAGTACAAAGAACCATACAGAGCATGAAAAAGAGGAAAGAAAGTTTTAGATCTGCATTTCTGCTGTTCAGTTGACATGTTGAACTTAGGTGAATTTCCTCAAAAAAGACATTAATAATAATTACATTGAAAATATTTAATTTGAAAATTATTATCTTACTAATACTTAGCATAGGGCACATTATGGCCAACCACCAATCAAGATTTGCTAAAAATAAGTCACAACAAATTGACAATGAAAAGCCAAAATGCTACAATTCACATCACAAGTTTTTTTTTTTTTTTTTTTTACTTACCATGCAAGTGCTGGGTCAAGTATGAAGGTCTGTGATCTCTAAGCAATTAACCCACCAAGAAAGCTCCAAATGACCCTTCACAGGAAACTCTGTAAGTTCCCTGGAGAATGTGAACTGTAGGCAAAATCAGCTGACTTCCAAATAAGCAGCACCCAAATCCAGGTGAAGTGACATTCTCATTTGATGTGGTCAAAGGGATGGACATTAGAGAAATCACGAGTTTTCAAGAGTAGACTTAGCCAAACTCATTCACCTGTGAAGACCACTCTTCTAGATGATGATGGCCAACAGTTCATTCGATCTCCACCCAAAAAGGAGCCATTTGAAACATCCCAAATAATCATCATGACTTACACAGCAATAGGTGCAATGGCATTGAACAGCATTTGACTGCTTGAAGAGAAGTAGCTTGAAGGTAACTTCAGAGTTGAAAATGTTTTTGAACAAGTGAAAAAAAGAAGCTAAGTTCTGAGGTCCAGTCTTCTGAATATACCTAATTATTCTAGATATCCAAAAGAAGTGTCATCTATTGTACGAGACTGTTGTTGATTTATTTCTTCTCTCCATTCGTCCCTAAGTGTTGTATTTTTGACCGACACCATAAGGTACATGAGCTGTGATGGTGCCAAATTTCTGTGCTCCTTCAATATGGAACATCTGGTCATCAAAGAAGATGTGCGGCCTGATCTTCACCAGGATCGGACCCTTGGGGGCTCCAGCAAGGAAGAGAGCTTCATCTATCTCTAGGCCCCATCGGCGGAGGGTCTTCAGCACACGGGCACCTGAGCTGGCTGCACTTCTGGCTGTAACCAAGTAGGTCCTGATGGGACAAAGTAACCTTTCATCTTTGGCATAAAACTTCTTTTGCAGTCGACCTAAATCTTCTAGAAAGCCTTTCAAGGGACCCTATAAAAGGAACATGTGTCATTCAGTAAATAAAGGGAAGTGACCACTGAAAAACCAGAGGCTCTCAGGAACTTATTAAATATGCACTTCTGCATGGGATATGCAGTGGAACCTGAATGACAACATAATGCTAAACCTTCCTGGATTTATGTGAATAATATTGTCTGATATGCAATTCTTCTTGCATTCCTGGAATAAACCTAAAATGATCATGGAATTTATCATGTAAGCCAAGATATTGAAGGTATGAAAAAATGTTCTGTAAACAGTTAAGGGCAATAGATCCGAACGATCCACAGAAAGATGCTCACTCTAAAGGAACTCCAGTTGGTTGTCAAAAGTACTACTTTTAAAATCAGTTCTAAAAGTATACTCGTTTTTCTAGTTGTATCCTCCTTGTTTTGTATTTATACCTACTCTATATATCTTCATACTTTCTTCCATTTTCAGCCTCTCTAAATGCTTAGTTGCATCCCTATTGTACAATTGAATCTTGCTATGTAATCCAATTTGAAAATCAACTTTTAGCACAATTACATTTGATAATATTACAAATACACTTGACATTGGTTCTGTTATTTTTATTAAAAAACTTTGTGTTAATTCCTTCTACTGGTTATCTTTATAAATATAACCTTTTATAGTACCCAAAGAACTCCTGTTTGTCTTCCTTTATACTACGAAAGATTTAATGGTCTATTCAACATCTCTCCTGTACTACTTCATCATCTATTTTTTTCACCTAGTGTCCATCAGTATTTATATCTACATTATTAAAGTCTATTCTTTTATTGATAAAATACATAATTTTACCCTTACATTTAACACTTTAACTGGCTACTGTCACTGAAGACAGTATACTGATAAACTTTTTTCCCACATTATCTCATCTTTTATTAAGTCCATAACTTTCTCTTTGATAAGACATAGTATTTTTCCCCTCTTCCTCTAGTCCTTCAGCTATTTTAGTCTTAAATCGTCACATATACCCTATACTCAATGTATTTTAGAGCACTCATTCATCCTGAGGTTAGCCAGTGTACTGTGCTCATAAGTGTAGAGCGATATCATTTACACTTGAGTGAACTTTTTGTTCCCTTAAGATCTTATAAATCATCCTTTGCCATCAAGTGTAGCTTTTCAGAAGTTTGAGGGGAGCTTTATGCTTCCAACACCTGCCCATCTTTATGATGTTTGGTCTTTCCTGCTAGGCAGCCCAAAGTTTTACTCATCTTTGAAGCCAAATTAATTTCACTTTTTCATAATCTTGGTGATAGTCATTGTAGCTCTTTCTCCTTATCAGACAATGTGGGTGTTTATCGCTAATAATTTAATCCTTTAATATGGACATTAAAGTTTCCTAAGAATTTAAGGATGTTTTCTTGACTTATAGTTTTATATAAATGTGCTTCTTTATGTGTAACCCACCCCCCCAGCACCATTTTAGTGGGTATTTTCCCAAGAATTGACTTCTACATATGTTGTTTTTTGTTCACTTAAGCTCTATCGCTATCATTTTTTTTCTAAAATATTTTAGGTTCTGTTCATTTCAATCATCTTGTTGTTTAATGGTTTGTCGTGTATCCTTTGATAATTCCATTTCTGCTTTCTCATTTTGCAATATTGTTTGAAATGTCATGCACATATTTAGTTACAACGTTTACTTACATTGTGGAACCTTATAAGAGGGCTTTGTTTGTTCTTCAGTATTATTCTTTTCTTTTGTCTGTCCTTTTCTCCTGACAACTTTGCATATGTTTACTGCTGCTCCTTTTTAAATCAGTTTTACTGGCTTAGGCTGCTTTTCCTTGGGGTAAGCAATCTTACAGGGCAGGCTAAGGGTAGTATTGGAAGATTTGCTCATTTCCACATTTCAAAGATGTTTTTGTCAGCTATCATGAACACAGACTGCTTACTGGAAACTGTTCTTATATAAACATTTATTTCTGCTTTCTCTGAGGGTGTGAAAGTCAGAAAAAGCAAATAAATTTATTTCCTGAAGGTGAGAGTATACATGAAAAATGTAAGTTTTTTTTTTTTTTCTTTTGTGGTAATAATGGCAAGCTGTTGCAATGATTGTTGGCTCAAGCCACCCTGGTCACAGTTTGCCTCTGAAACACAAAGGGGCAATTTTTGTTGCATGTGAATACTTTCCAAAAGAAAGAAATAGAAAGTATTGAATTTACATCACCACAATCAGACAAGGAAACCATCCCATCCATATATACTGATATATAATTTGGTACAGGGTCTTACTACGGAGCTTGGATTCCCAGTGATCTTTCTATTTTCAGCCTCCCCAGTGCTGGGATTACAGGTGTGTGCCACCACACCCAGTCTCTATGGCTGCCTCAGCATGCCCGGGGATGGGGCTGAGGTGGTTATGTGGTGCCAGGGATGGAACCCCAGTCCCTGGGCTTGCCTAAGCAGGCGCTTAGTCTGCTGAGCTATCTCACCAGCCTGTGGTATCTATATTTATATGTTGGAAAATAGAGCAAAATTAAGAGCTTACTGGACCTACCTGAGCGAGAGGCTTATTCTCAAACATTGTTTCATGTTGAAAGAATTTGTCCAGCCCATGCTCCTTGGCAATATGTTCTGACTCATCTGAGAAGAGGACGGCATCTCCGTCAAAGGCCACACGGAGCTGTGTGTCACAGTAAGACATGTCTCTGGCTCCATCAAACATCGTTGCAGAAGCAATTCCTTAGAGATCAGGGGACTGATTAATGTTCATTTCAGAACCATGAATTTTGATTTCCTCCATTTAAAACAAAATAAAGCTCTCCCTGCACTTAATGCTCCTCTCTAACTCCTAATTGATAATGGAGCTTCTGGTCAGAACCACACATCTCAGATGACTATCAGTGTCTCTGTCTCCTAAGGGATGAGAGTGCGAAACGGGCTTTAGGAAAGTCAGTATAGATATCCCCTCCCAGGAAGGTCTCAGGTGCGAGGAAGGCATCTAAAGTCCCCCATATGTGCAAACACTTGAGCAGAACACCCAGTAAGAACATAACCCATGTACATATTCCTACAGGAAACCTAATGTAAATAATCATCAGTGCAGACCCCTCATTAGCCAGAAGGATAAAACCAGACTAATACCTTCTTTTATTGCCTCCTGTACTTTTTCAGAACTCGCAGAAAGGTACAAGTTGGTTAGATATGCCTTCAAATAGCCTATAGGGCTTTTTCCACCAGTCAAACAGAATCGGTCAATGAGTAACCCTGTTATCAAAGAAAGACTCTGTTATGGCTGAGATTAAAGAAAAAAAATACTGAAGAAAATTATCTTGGGAATACAGAGAGTATTTTTGCATCCAAGTGAGCTCATATGTAAATCTGAGTGAAAGTCACCTTGGAAATAGAAGTATTAGAATCACTTAAGTGACAGCAGTACTGAAGAACTTCTCAGGTGTCACATGTAGTGGGGTGGATGCCTAATCACTGTGGCTAGGTGCATTCACACAGACTGCTGGTTCTTCTCAACCCCTTTGTGGCAGATTTGTACTCTGCAGAATAGGGCACTGACACAGATAGACTTGTCTGACACATTCATTCACAACTACTGGGCAGACTTGAGCCCAGATGTCTGATTCTCATTTGGACTAGAACAAGATGCTCTATTCCTTGAAGGCTGTAGCCTTCTCACTTGGTGAAATGGCATTAAAGTGTGGCCCTATCTTAATTACCATTTCTGTGTTACTTCAGTAACTATACAATAATAACAAGTAATGGTAGGATTTGAACTATTTTTTTAGAATAATGAAATATTTTAAATTTTCACTTTCCTAGCATGAAAATCTTTATTATCATTAGCAGAATCAATCAGTATTCAAACACTACTAAATGTCTTTGAAGCCAATAACAACCAAAAATACACAGGTTTCTGCTAAGAAGTTTGTAAAATAGGTACCCGTATATATTACAGATGCAAGTATAAACTTTAATGTAGCACAAATTGTCTAGGAAGAAATTTGACAATATATCAATACTTTTTAGAGGTATATA